AGGTTGTTATGACAATCTTTATTTTTCCTGTACTGTCTGAGAAAATACTGGGGCCCCAGGCCGGGGCCTCATTCCAACAAAAAACTCCGTTAATGTGTGACAGGGGCCAGCACACCACGGTTCATGATCACCAAAAAGGCAAAAAAAAAAAAAAAACACATGCCACTTTTTCTCGGTAAAAACATTTAAAAATACGGAGATATTTTAAGTTGCTATATGGTTTCAGAATGTGTGTGCCAAGAGGCAGGAATGCCGAGGACACTGTCACCACTTGCAGAGGGGAGAATGCTCTTCATTTACAACCCAAAGTGTGGCTGCCCATCACAATCGAGTCCCTCTGCTAATGATCTGACGGACCCACACGGATGAGCTGAGTTGCAAGTGTGCTCTTCTTCCCCCTCTCACAGTGACTGCCTGAGGTTAAAGACTATTTTTTGGTAAAACTCCAGCTCGTTTCACAATTTGTAAGCAAAAGTGCCTAAATGATAGAGGCTGCAATAACCCTGGCTGGATTTTCTTGAGAGGGGAACAGAATAGCACAGCAAAGCCTTTTCCCCTGAGTACGCAGGGCCAGAAAAGGAGGAAAAACGAGGCTACCATCTAACAATAACAGGGGTTTTTTTTGTTTTTGTTTTTTTTCCTTTTTGTCTTTTTTCGTGTCCAGCAACGGATCACAACCCTCAGTGTCGTGCCCATACCGGACCGGGACCGGCAACGGGATCGCAACCCTCGGTGTTGCGTCCGCACCTCACTCAGCCAGTGAGCGGGAACCAGTCTGTATGTGGGATCCAAACCCTCGGCGGGAGCGCCACCACACTCCCAAGCGGCGCACTGTAGCAGTGCGCCACCGGGCCAGCCCAACAATAACAGTTTTAACAACACATTTCTCTGGGGCTTACTACACTAGGTACAAAGGCATGGACAACCTAAATACTCAAAACAACTTGATCAGGTAGATACTATCATTATCACCATTTTACAGATAAGGAAAATGAGACGTGGAGAGGCAAAATAACTAACCTACCTAATAGGTGTCTAGCCCAAGAGAAACTCAGTTCTGACTCCAAGTTCTTCCCATAAACCACTGGACAGAACCGTCCCCACCCCCATGCCCACTTCACCATCAGCACCGTAACTAAGGACCCATCTTCTCCAGGCCATAGTTCTACATACTATAACAGGGCCTAGGAAGGCAGTCTATTTTTTTCCCTGTTTGTTTTATTTTTATTCCTCTTTTAAAAACTTTTAGTGGGTATTAATAGTACTTAATGCCAACAATCTACTTTAAACATATGAAATTCTAGCTGGTTTGTATTATTTAAAAAATCAGCTTTCACATGTACAGTAATGTTCCCCTTCACTGTGTTACTTAAAAGTGAGGATTCTGAACAAACTGTCAACCAATCCCCCCATGTTATAATAGATGATGTGACTTCCACAAAGTGGTAATCTGTCCCCTTCACTATCTAAAGTCCGTCAAGGTCTTCCTTTCTTCTTCCATTCACTGGCTATGTCTGAGGAATCAGACTTAAAGGTCACCAGTCTGCTCAGACAGAATCAAACTGAATAAAACCTTACAGTCGACTTGATTGGCAAATACAAAAACTAAAATTTTAGTTAAAAACCACACCAGGCTGGAGATGGTTATTTAAGTTAAAGCAATTTTCCCCTTCAGAACCTATTTCATTTTGCTTAGGAGGCTGAAAATTCAGTGAGTCTACACACACAACAAATCTGCCAATCTGCGGAAAGAATCGTCCATTTTTACAAAGTCAGGAACTCCAGCATGACTTTAAGTGATGGGTCTCTCCTCTTGCAATGTGATTTATGAACCACATTTCAGGATACATCTAAAGCTCTTAGAAAAAGTTATCTACTCATAAGTGTCTTGGGGAGACAGGGATCTGAAACATTTCCACCAGAGGGTGCTATCCTCTCTGGAAGTTATGAATAGTGTTCCTAATTTAACGTACTTTGCAATTTAACCAGCCCAAATCTTTTTTTCTTGAAAGTGTTTACCATAAACAATGAAATTGTCTTAAAATATAACATGCTATAGTAAATAAAATATAAAATAAAACTTTTTTCCACAAAGAGTAATGATAACGTGAAGAAAACTTATTTTAGCTTATTATGTGTCAGGCACAGTTCTAAGCATTTTACAAACATAGACTCATATAATCTCCTCATGCTATTAATAATCGCCATTCTACATATATGGAAATTGAGGCACAATTAAGTAACTTAACAGGGTCACCAAGCTAGTAACTACAGATCCTGAATTCAAATTCTGGTAGTCTAACTCGCAAGTCCATGCACCTAACCTACAGAAAAAATACAGAGCTCCAGTAAAAACAGATGTACTTCTGAACGTGTTTAATTACGTCACTGACTATATCACACCTCTAGAAATACATAAAATTAGCCTATAAAAGGCACCAATACTATCAGCTGATAATTTCATTAACTGTCGTTTGACATCATTTTCATATGTACATAAATATCTCCCATTGCAAGGTGACATATCACTTAAGTTTGCTTATTTGTCAGCTACATTCCATTGAAAAGTATCAAAGTTCTAGATTTAAGGAGGAGGAGGAGGAGATGGATCTGTTCTTTTTATTTTTAAAGATTGATAACAAAGAATATAAATCATAGGCAGAGCTATAGCTTGAAATTAAATATTCAAAGTCATTTATTATTAGGACCATATTGTGACAGTCTAAATTATCTCCTAGTCTTTGGAACTTACTTGGCCTCCTGGTTGTATTTCCATCCTTGGGACACAGCTGTGATTCTCTGTTAGCTAGCAACACACTTTGCAGTGGGCATACACTCAAATATTTTTGCAAAAACCCCAGAATGTGTATCTTGAGAAATTTATTGCCCTGTTTTATTAGAAATATGAAAAGTAAGGTATTTTATTCACCCACAGGTAAATTTGTATCAGAATGTTTAGATTATAACTTCTTTAGGTATACTTTACTAGTACAATTGGGCTTTTAGTGTGTGTGTGTGTGTGTGTGTGTGCACGCACAGACTCACATGTGCCTTCAGTTTCAAGTTTCAAGCATTCAAGTTTCTTTTAATTTAATTTAATTTGTCCACTTCTTACTTGTTGCACAGTTTTTAATAATTAAGGAGAGGGCACAAAACAGCATGACCAAGGATATTCACACATTGTACTCGCAACACACTGGTAACAACCTAAATATCCCTCAGATGGGAACTAGTTAAATAAATTAGTTATAACACATCAATATCTTTGACTATTACTTAGGTTTTTTTAAAAATGAGGCAACTCTATATGTGTGGATATGGAAGTAAAAAAAGCAAAGTGCAACACAGGGGCTATAACATGTCAGCACTAGTGAGAATGAACTCACACACGCGCACTCAACTGGAAACACTTGGCTCCAGGAAACAAACGGAGGGACCAAGGAAATGGGGATTGAAGGGGGACCAACTTTTTAAACACCCCTTTGAAGTGTTTAAATTTTTTTTTAACCAGGTCCATGAAAGATCTTGTCCAATTACGATTGATTATAAAATTAAAATTAAAACTCTAATAATCAGTTTTTAGAATTTTTAATGAAAATGAAATGGTAGAGAACCATAAAACTAGTCTAATGCCACCTAATTCAGGGTTTCTTTACTACACTGCCATCTGCTTTCTGCATGAGCTTTTATATATTTGGGACAAATGACTCATGAGAAGCTTTGGTTTACCACTGTGCCATTTTCCTAGATCTGCCCTTGAGATAAGGAACACAACAGAGGTTATTCCAAGTCATTCACTTTTTGGTTGTTTTGTATGTCTGCAAGCTTTAAAACAGCAGGTTCAGACCTCCTAGAAGAACAGACACTTGAAGCTGACTCAGGTCTATTTGAGTTCATACTCACTTTGGCTAAGCCACAGTATGAGGGACGGGTATCCAGGAATAACGCTTCCGTTTTTATCCTGTTCATTCCTGAAAATCCAACAGGAGATTCTTTTCACTCCCTAAAATTAACTTCCATATATAAAGTAGCATCTGAATATCTGGTCTTAAATGGAAATGCTATCTGAAAACAGCACAATCTTTTATAAAACTTTAAAATCGGTCCTCATTTATTTTCAGCCCTTAGGGGAAGGAAGGGATGGCTACCAAAAAGGCTGGCTGGTTCTGTTGCCTCAGTGTGTATCTCACTTCTGATTATCTCCAGTGGGCTCAATTTTCATTCTTTTGAAATAAAGGCAATTAGCAGAAATATTCTCAAGTCTAAAATCACACTTAAACATTGTAAATGAAGTGAAAAGTGCAGATTATGTATAGTTAACTGCATTTGAAAACTGGACCAATATGTACAATCAATTATGTTGCAATCAATCAATCAATCAATAGAATGTCAGCACAAAAAAAAAAAGGGGGAAAGAAAATTGGACTAACCTTGATTCAAACTCCAGTTCTGCTATCCACAAGCAGTGTGACTTGGGAAAATTTTCCTCATCTATACACTGAGAATTCTGTTGCTTTTTGTAGGGTTTTTGGGAGGATTTAATGAGATAAGCCATGAAAGCACCTAGGTTGCTGACAGACACACATTATGCAGCAATTATTTTTGGAAAAAAAAGGGAAGAAAAAAGATTGGAAGTCAGAATTCTAAGTTTAGGTAGTTGTCAGGGAGTAAATTCACAGAAAAGAAGTACCAACCCTACATGCCTTTGTGTGGATGAAGGCAGGAGGCCTAAAGTGATTTTCCAAAGAACTCCAATTAAGGCAGTTGGAGGGGGTTCCAGAACTGCAGCGTAAAGCTAAGGTAGCAGTGTCGTGAACTGGGTGGCAAAGAGGCCAAGAAAGAAGGGAGAGGTGGCACGAGGGCAAGGTAGCCAGGAGGGAGGGAAAAAGCCTATGTGGGTGCACAGAGAGTCGCAGAGACAAGCAGAGCTGCTTTTGAGCCCCAGGGCCCCATGGTTGGACACTTGTTTCTTCAGCTCCGAGTCAGAGCCTGGGGCTTACCGAGATTTGGCTGGGACACTGCCATGGCCCTCTGAGGCACTGATGTGGAAGTGACGGCAGGGTGGAGGTTCATGTGATTCAGGGGCTGATTCATCGCCTTCCTAGGGTCTTGCCATGTGGTGATTTTTTCTATGTGACTAAAAGAAGGAAAATAATTATCTTTTTAATTGTCAACATCATTACCATTATGACTGTCATCAATAAAAGCACAACAGTTAAGTGATGCTGGCTCTTCCCTCTGCATCTTACAGTGGCTTCCAAGGACACTCTTGCCCATTCATCCCTCTAACCCGGCTGGGCCACCCTCGGGACTTCGCACAGGGCTCTCTGAACACAAGCCATGACATAGTGGTCCAGCCTGCCCCTGCATGCAGCGAGCCCCAGCAACCTCCCATCAGCCACCGAGCCTGCTCCCCAGCACCTCAGTGCTTCCCACTGTCCAATCACTGCGGTGCAGTGTGAGCTTGTCCCTGGAGGAAGACATGCCAGCACCCACACTCTCCCTGCTCCTAGATTAGGCATAATGGGAATCCCTTTGCCTGTCCTCAGCCAAAGGTGGGCCCACGAGACCAGCCTCTTAACACAGCATTACTGAGCTCGTACAAAGCGTGAGGCGCACAAGGTCTGCAAAGGCTACACACAAATCCTCACACAGCTGACCGTCCACCAAGCAAGGTAACAACCACGTGGCTGCAGAACAGCAAAGAGGGAAATAAGTGCAGGAAGGTAACCGAATACCAGATTATGGAGAAACAAGATATTGAGGCATGAAGGTTTCCGAAGCAGAAGACATGATTAGACTTTTGATCATATACAACTTATAATATTTTTTATTACGACTTAATCTCAGAGAAACTAACTCAACATGAGCTTCTGCCCAGGGTTTCCAATACGTCCTTAGAACACTGGTCAGAGCCTTAGTCCAGCTTTGCCTATTGCCTCCCAAACATCATCACAAGTCACTCCTGGTGTCTTACAGACTCTATCCCGCTCCATCGAGCTCAGCCTTCGTGCGAGTTGAATATATATACGAGGGAACTTCAAAAAGTTCATGGAAAGATTCATATTATCTTTTAATTCTATTTTTCCACAAACTTTTTAAGTACCCTTGTACAGTAAATATTTTAAAGATGAGCAGACTCCTCCTCCTTACCTTGTTTTATGAACAGTATCAGAGCTCTTTCTATATCCATCAAAGTCGACAAACTTTGTTAGAAGAAACTTAATGTCAGCCCTGTGTTCTGGGCTTTGCCTCTACCACGTCAAGCCCCAACCACTGTTGACCCTTCCTTAGACACACAAGGAAAGGTGCATGATTGTTTGGTTAAACACACTTTAATTTTGAATGACAATGACCTCCCCTGCATCTTTATCAATTCAAAATAATCTTTACTACTATCACTCAGTTTAATCTTCCTTGCACTGAAGTTGTATTTGTCTTGTTTTCTTTTGTGACTGTTTCTTCACATTTAAATGCTGCCACTGCTAAAATTCTTACTTAGATTACTTGAAGATATTGCCATGGGGAACTCATCCATTGACTTTAGTGAAAACCTGGATGTTTTCCTAAGATCTTTAAATGAATGTGATTTAAAAAAAAAAAATGTTGGCCTTGGAAAAGAAAGCAGAGTTAAGTTTAACTGCTGAGTTTCAACACTGTGAAAGAAAGTGAGCTGAGATGCTGGGTACCATTCAAGCTTTATTAAAGAAAGAAATCTGCCAGGCTGTGCTCAAAGTGGCAGGCAGCCCCGGGCCGCCCTGAAAAAGGGACAGCACCAGGTGTGGGGGTGGTAGAGCTTATATAGTGCGCCAAGGGCTGGCTGATACCATCAAGGAGGGTCTTATGCTAATGTGGATGTGGGTGGAGAACTGCATCCTTCTGGAAGCAAAAGGGGTTTCTGTTTAAGTCAGGAGGCTTCTCATAAAGGGAAGGGGGGAGGGGAGAGGAGGAGGTGGGCGGCGCCACTTTGTACTTGGGCTTGTCTAAAGTGACGCTGGTTATGTTGCAGATCTACTACACTGTAAGTACCATCAGCAGTCTTCAATAAAATAGCCAAAAATTAACTGCGATGAATAAAAATAAAAGAACCAAGAATATCTTGTTTTAAAAAAAAAAACATAAAAAGAGATGGGAAAGACTGATGTAGAGAAGAGAATCATTTCCTTAAGCATAACCAAATGAAAAAGAAAGACAATGGTCTTAAGTTACACCTTCAGTTTAACAACTGTAATTCTGTTTAAAGTTTCCATAAAATCCTTTTGTCAACTTTTAGGCATGCGGAAACTCACAGACAGCTCCAGGGTATTTGTCACAGGCCTTCATAGTAAGTAACCAATTGATGAGGACGTCAAAGTTAAGTCAACTCCCTTTAGCAAAGTAATTAGAGCTAGGAAACCCTTTGATTATTCCCTCAGAACCCATCCTATTAAAAAATGTTTTCCAAGGTAGGCATGTCCTACATAAATACTTTCCACTCTGGTACCAGAAGAATCCTCTCTTTCATGAACTTTCTTAGACTCTTGACACCTTGGATGCTGACACTGTGCTAGGACCACCAATCAGTGCAGGCCCCAGTGAGATGCAGAAATATACACCACAGGGCAGAAGACACATAAGGGCACTGGTGTGGTCAGAAACTCAGCTACCAGTGGGAGAATAATTCAGGAGCCAGAATGATGCACTCCCAACTGCTGGCCGCCCCCACTCTCCCCTCCACCCTGAACAAGTGAGCTGTGGCTCCTGAACATGGTGACAGCAGGAACATCCACTACAGGAAGTCCCACATCGAGCACATGAGCCCAGTTTGCCTAAGGAATGCTGTAGTGGCTTGCCAGCCTCCATGCCCTGGGACAGAGTGGGTGGACACTCCTGTCCTCATCCTGACAGGTCTGACCCCAAAGATGTACACCTCCCCCTGTGGCTTGAAGTCCCAGAATTCCCACAGTGATGTGGGAGCTTCCACAGCCCACCCTTCAAACTCCACACCCAGCCAACACATTTAAGGAGTTTTGTTCCCAGCAGATTTGTTAATTAAAAGTGTCACTCACTGTATTCCTCAAAGACTCAAGTACAAGAGGAGCCTTTTTTAAGTGAGCAGTTCTGTTGCTCTGAAACAAGAGAGCTACTCGAATTCCCAGCTCTGCAGACCAGTCGAGGACATCAGCTTAGCTCTAAGGCTCAGCTTATAGACCCAAGTGGCTCTCAGCCTGAATGCAAAAAACAAGGGAAAGTGTATTGCTCACAGGAGGTGCTCAATACAGCACTGAGGATTGGATTTGAAAACTAAATTCCCCTAGTGTTCAAATCATTTGGGGCCTCAGGCTCCAGCTCCTCCCCCACTCCTTCCCAAACCCAGGATGTGCCATTCACTCCTTCATTCTGCTGTCTCATCTCTGCTCCCTCTCTCAAAGTTACTGAGTCATTTCCTTTCTCCTATTTCTCTGTGTGTCCTTGCTGTTTGCCAGGACCCACAATTTAGCTAGATTAATCCTCACTTCCCTACAACTCCCACCTCCTTCCCGGCTCACTCCCCTGCTGAATCTACTTACAGAAAAGGTCACTCTGGTATTTTAAAAGTGTAATTTCCCTTGGAAATCAATATACACACACATATATTCTGTCTACATACAGATGTGTATTCTATAAATACATACTCTGTACAGTTTTCATACTTGACAATGGAACAAAAAAAGGAAAGATACCAAACTATTTATGTTGATATATTCAATTAATAGGCTCACTGGTAATCTTTTTTCTTATCTAAACTCTGTGCTTTACATGTTTTTAGCAGTGACTGTGTACTGTTTTTATAACCAATAAAAACAAAAATACTCATGAAGGTACAAAGAGACAAAAAGGAAAACTGACACATGGATATGTAAGTCATAGGGGCCTAAAGTTATTGAAGATAAACTACAGAGTTGGCTCATATCTGTGTGGCCCAAGTAAGAAGAGAAATGGAATCAATTACCTGGCCCATTATTTAGATGAAGGGGGAACGTATAGTTTAAAGGAACTTGAGAGACAGCTGACACAGCAACCAGTGCAACAAGCAAAACTTGTTTGGATCCTGAAGTAAACGAATCAATTGTAAGAAAGAAAGAAGAAGGCAGAGAAAATTGGAGAAACTTAAACATGTTTAATGTTTGATTCTACTAAGGAATTATTTTATTTTTTAAATGTGATTATATACTGTAGTTATGTCTTTTTTAAAAGAGTGCTTATCTTTTAGAGACACATACTGAAATATATTCAGATGAATGTTGTGATACTGGGGTTTACTCAAAATAATCCAGGGGGAAGAAGAAAGTGGGTGGGTGTACAAATAAGATTGGCCATGAGTTGTTGATTGCTGTAGCCGGATTTATTGTATAGGCATTAAATTTTTCACAGTAAAAAGTTTTAAAAGATTAAAAAATGGAAAATAAAATAAAATAGATAAATAAAAAGAAAAAATACCACTTCCTAATATAGGCATTAAATTTTTCACAGTAAAAAGTTTTAAAAGATTAAAAAATGGAAAATAAAATAGATAAATAAAAAGAAAAAATACCAGTTCCTAAGGGATAGAAAAAATTTTCTTGACACCAAAAAAATTTTTTTCCTAGATTAAAAAAAAAAAAATCCCCCACAAGTCCTTCATATGCAGGCCTCAGGTGGTGTGTGGTGGAAAATGCACCCATAACGAATAGAATGGGAGTGGGCTTTGCCCATGCCTTTGACAGCCCACAATAACTACCTACTTCCCCATCAGCCTCCATGTCCTACAGTCCCAGAAAGACCAAACTGAAGCCTCGCCTCCAAACACCGGATGAGAGTCTCTGTTAGAGAACCTGCCTGGGTTCAGCTCCTGGGACCTGGAGTCTGCCACAGGGCAAGAGAGGTCAGCACTTCTCTGAGAAGATATCTAGCTGGAAACGGTAGCTTATGGGAAACCGTGTTGTGTGAAATCAATTTTTCCTTGTGGATTAATATTTCCTTCAATTAAGACACAAATTTAGAAAGTTGTTTTATTACTAGGTAAATTCTGTGAGTAGGGTTAAAATGTCACTGAAATCAGCAGGTGCAGCACCCCCACACCCCCAGTCACCCTCCCTTCGGGGACTGGCCTCTCCCATTGGCCACCTGGAGCCTTGT